AAAAGGATTCCTGAAACATATTTTGATTGTAAATGCACAGTAAGTGATCTAAGAAGTGACATGAAGTTATTCTAAACAGGCCTGAGTGTTGCCAGCACCATGTGGGATAACCACACCTAACTGGGTTGTGACAATCTGCAAAGAACATGCACAAAAATCAGCAGTTTTCAGAAAATGCAATCCTAACTTGAGATATCTGAGAATTTTTTTTCATCAAGGAGAGCCTGTTCCCATTTGTTAATCATGTCATTATGGTATACCCATTCTGAAGGTATTAAATCATAGAGTTGGTTTACTAATGAATAATATTATTCTCTAAAGTAGCAATCCAGTTATGTTTATGTGACAATATGGAAATGTCTGAAAGATGTGCTGCACAAAGTCCCTGCCTTTTGTAATGCTTTTTAAAAGTATTCTAATGATATTCTAGAACAGCATTTGTTTGTTCTGATTAGTGGTTTTAATGTCAGTGGTAATGATGTTAGCCCTTAGTTGTGTATGCAATTACATATCCCTCTCTTTTAGCTGGTTTTCTCATTTCAATACATACAGCAAAGTAAGAGGTAGTTATGCAGGCCTTTTTGTAGTCCAAAAGGTAAATGGATAAAATTTGTTGTGCCTTTCTGTTTTCTTTCATTATGAAACTAAACAGCCAAACTCTGTCACCTCCTCTAATTTGGTGCTCAGAGACAAAAACAGGTTGGCACTGAAGTGCTTTTCAACTTTTCGTATGGATGTCAGGCAAATTTCATTGACTTAGTGTTCATTTTATTGTAGATGGTGGCTTTTTTTCCTCTGGCTCTTTTGGAACATGCACTTGTTTAAATTATTCATTAGGTTAAACACTTGCCTGCCCTGAATTTAAGCAGAACTTAAGAAGGATCCTCCCCCTCCTTCTGTGCAACTCTGAAATTCTGTTTTTATATTCAGGTGTTGATATCTCCTCATAAAACTTTGTTGTCCATGTAATAGTCCTAATTCTTTTGCATTGCTTCCTAAATAGTTTTCTTAATAATACATCAGTTAAATATGCATCTAATTTGTTCTATTAGTTGCAGACTTCTAGGAGGGTAGAATTTTTCATTCAGTTTTAGATCTTCGTTTTCTTCATTTCTTTTCTTTGAAGCTCGTGCACTTTTCAGGACGTTAAGATTCTAAAGTTTATGCAGTAAAGCAGATGTTGTGTAGGTGCTGCTGGTAGGCAGGAGGTGCAGGGTTGGAAGTTCAAGGGTGTGAAATATATTTGCATGCTCATGTTATTTGTATCAATAGTGAAAAGTTCTAAAGATGAATAAATAGATTGTTCATCCTAGACAGTATATATGGGATGTAGTGTAAGCCTTAAAAAAAAGAAGGATGTTCCTTTTGCTGACTAGAGGTATAATAGGCAATTCATTTACTATTTCCCTAAAATATGCAGTTTTCATTATCGATGTAATCTGCTAAATTCTCAGCTTAAAAAATAGTGGTTTTATATCATCAGCACCACCCAGAACTGACGCTACACAAGGGGCAATGTGGCTCACAGTGCTCTCAACTCTCTACCTCCTCCAGTAGTCATCAGGTCTCTTGTGTGCACACTTTTGTCTTCTTATCTGAAAAGGCTACTACATTATCTTCTGCACAAGTGAGATCAGATCCTGGTATACTCAGATGAATCTGGTAGCCTGACTCTAGGAACAGGCTTAGGGCAATTACACCTTAATACAGCTCAGTGCAGAAACCTGGAGAGGTCTATGCTATTTCAAACTACCATACGCTCCATATAGTTATTAAACCCACGGAATCAATCAGATATTTTCCCCTCAGTGTAAAATATATGACTACCTGAATTAGAATTTTATTTCAAACAGCTATCATAACAATTAGTATTTTATGCTCTCCTGTTCTCTCTAATATGCCCACTTAATCACAACATTACTTTTTACCCACAACTGAAGTTAAAACTCTGGTAACTATGAAGCGCTGCACAAAGTCAATAATTCTGAAGATGTTTCAGGCTATTGGCTTTTCCTCCACTGCTGCGTAACAAGCATCTAATGCATTGTTTTAATTTAGTAATTCTGAAGATATTTCAGGCTTTTCCTCCACTGCTGCATAACAAGCATCTAATGCATTGTTTTAATTTATTTGAAAAAAAAAAATTATTTGCATTTGTGCTGCCACAGCTAGAATCACTTCTAGTGGCCAGCCTGGTGAGTTTAACAGCTAGCAAGAGATTCTCTGCAGTACATTGCACTTTGCAGTGGAGAAACAGATGCTTTTCATGGTCAAATCTGTCCTTACATAATAGGCTTTGGAGTTCCTGGAAAATGCTTTATGCACGAGTGAAGCAAATGGCTTTCTTATATGAATATAGTACATACAGCATCCAGTAGTAAAACTCACATTGATTCTAACCATACAGTTTCAGCCCTATCATTGTCTTATTTGTAGAGCTAGTTAGTATCATAGAGACATGCTCGAGCTGCCTTTTTCTACTTCTTTTCCTTGCATACTGATCAAATATTAAGCCAAAAGGTATAACCTCAAAGTTTTATTGTGAAAAAGATTATTTTTACTATTTCTATCCAGTAACTCTCCACAGCCACCTTACCTGTGTGTGCTCTGTTACCTTTTACGGGGATAGCAGTAGAACACAACAGTATTGATTCAACCCTCAAAAATATGTCTTGCAGCAAGTTTTCTGTTGGCTTGTCAAAGACTTTCTTAACCCCCCTCCCAACTCTCAGCAGTGATAGCAACTAGATTGTCACTTAGGGAAAAATACTTGTAAAGCAAAATCATGTTTCTGCTCTTTTAACCTCCAAAAAAACCCCCAAACCTCCAAAAAAACCAAACCAAAACCCACCCACAATAAAACCAACAGAACAAAACAACAGGGGGGAAAGAGCATTTTCTTATGCTTCCCAGTGTATGGCATCCCTATAGCTAGAGATCTAAATCATGCTGAAAAAAAAAAGAAAATAGAATAAAAATCAAGACAATGGAAAACATTAGGATGCAGGACACTATCTGGTACCTTGCTTCACTCTGTAGTACGTGACAGGAATTGTCAGCAGCCTGATCAGGCTCACAGTGGAAAAGTACTGTCTGCTTTAGCCAAAAGCAGGATTCCCCAACTCTGTGGGGCTCTCAAGCTTGTCACCCAGACCTTACCTAATGTTTAGGATTTGCTTTGCAACTGGTATTTACCACTGTTTTTATGCATGTACATGTGTGGTGGAAGGAAAACAGACATAGTTGTCTCTGATGAGAAATTCACATCAGTTACAAACTTTAGGCTTTCCCTGTGTGCATTAGCAAAGTGCTCAACCTGTCACAGAAGAACACTTTCTTAAAGTTTAAAAGCCTTGAAATGGGAATATATACTTGTATTGAAAGCAGAGATAAAGAAGACGATCTACATTCCTGTTTTATCAAGCACGTTAACAATACAGGTATGAAAAATGTCGGGTTTAGGGTGCACTTGAATACATTTTTACACTAGTTTCCTTCAGGAAGATCCATAGGCCAGTCTTAGGACACTTAAGCCAGATGTGTTGTTGAAGTATCCGTGGAAGGATCTGGCTTCCTGCCAGCTTCATAAAGTCATCATTCATGTGGATACTGGAAACATATTAAATCTGTCATTTTATTAAAAAAAAAAACCCAACACCCAAAGATCTCTGTTGTATAAGGCAAATCAGTGCCTATCCCTATGCCTAGGTAGTAGTTATTGATGATGCCTTAGATCAGCCTATTTCCTTAATTACAGCAACTCAAGAAGGACTCTGAGTGTTAGTTAGTTACTTAGACATCTTACATTTGAAACAGCATGCTAACTACTCAAAATCATTGTCTTTGGGCTGTTCTGGTTTTTTTCTAATGTGCTGAGAGTGCTGTGAGCCAGAAATATTACACAAATGAAATACCACAGTGTCACAGGGACACAAGCATTTATAGGAATAATGAACTCCTTATCACTAGAGAAGCACAGTGTATGTTATATATACACAGCTACCTAACCCAAAAAGGGAAGATGAATAACACTGTAAAAAAAAAAAAAAAACTTACATTAAAAATAAGCATAGTGTTTAGATGCTCATAAAGCAGTATATTTTGGCATAAAAATGGAAAAAGAATAAACCAACTTGACTATTGATCCAAGTCCTGTAACTGAAGAAAACTTGGGTTAATATCAGACCAGAACTTGGTAGAGCAGAATTGCCAAAATTACATTTTAAATCACTCATCATTTGTTGTTGCTCATGAGGACACCGTGAAGGGGTCCAGCTTTTCATCTGTGAAGAGAAACCTCCACTTCAGGTTTTTATTTTGCATTCTGTTTTCCATTTGTATAGGAATGCCACAGTTGTTCACAGGCGTCAGGGAGCAGTGTGTGATGCAGCGTGATTTCTTCCTGAGGGAAGGGCTGACAAAGGCTGGATGAACAGAGGCGTTTTCACAAACTCTGGCAGACACCTGCAGAAGGCTTGGCTGAACTCTCTAGGGCTGGCAGCGGCCATTAATCTCTCACATCCATGAGCACTAGAACTCTATTAATGAGTGCTTTTTCACACACATACAGTAGCACTTTTGGCATTGGAATTTGTATTATCTTGAGGGGCAGAGGTTGGTGACAAAAATATCCCAGCAATCAAGATCTCGGGGTATTTCTCTGCTATTTCACTTCAACTTTTTTTTAATTGTTGTAACAGATTTTTTTATTATTATTAAACGACTAAAATATTATCATGCTCCTGCAGCTCTTTATTGCTACATCTCTCTCACCCATTAAACTGTAAATCTCCTTGAATGATATCAGAGCAGTTCCTCAGGTGGTACATGGAGACAAAACCTCCGAAATGCTGAAGCCTTCTCCTGCCTCTCCATCTCCACACACCAGACAGCGTCATGCCAGCGTTCAGTGTTTCACAGTTTGAAGCAGCAGTTACATTCCCCTCTGACAGCAAACTTGAATTCATTTGTTAATAAGTCTTCCTCTGGCCAATTTGCAGGAGAGCTGCTCCCTCTGCTGAGTTTTCTGTGGACCGTCACCGCCACCTGATGTCCTTCCTCACCATGCTGGGCCCCAGCCCGGACTGGAACGTGGGCCTGTCTGCCGAGGACCTCTGTACCAAGGATTGTGGCTGGGTTCAGAAAGTCGTTCAGGATTTAATACCCTGGGATGCTGGCACAGACAGCGGCGTGACCTATGAGGTATGTGGACTATTTGTCATGTATTTAAAATGTCACCTTAAAGCAGTGAAGAACGAGAGCTATTGGATACGTGGTAACACCGGATCTGCCTTAATGCTACTCCAGTAAAAAATTTGCTTACAATGGATTAAAAGTCATTTGGACAGATGCTAGCTACAGTTACTGTTAGTCATTGTGTCTGAATTCTCTGAACATTATTAATAATGGATAATATTACATTCACCTGGCATATTATTATATTCACCTATTGAATAAATGGAGGATCTGGTTTGCTCAAAACTAAGCGCTAAGGTGTCCAAGCCCTTTGATACACATCTGTGTGCCATCAGCAGCCACATCAGCTTGAGTTTTCTACTGTTTCAACTCAATGCCAAGTATTCTGCTTGGCAAAGAAAACTTAACTATTCCTTACAGCAGGGATTGAAACTCTGGACTTCTCATCGGCACGAGACTCTATAATCATCCATTTTCTCTGTCTCCTTCACTCTCTCAGTCTAGGAAGAGATTCACATCATCCTCAGGTAAAGTCCTGTTTTTGACCAAATGAGTTACATCAAATTACTGAATGGGTTAGGTCTCCATAGGTGACAAGGATACCTACACTACGTGTCTATACAGACCATAGAGACAGCTGAAGTTAGGTAAGACTAGTTACATCCTCAAACACCACATGTATGACACAGACTCCATGTACCACGCACATTTTTAGATGACAGAAGTTGGTTGTTTTTTTCATTCAGACCAGTCTCTTTTAAAGCTAATGAATTTCTCCAGTTATAATGCAGTTCTGGAGGTATTATGATTTTGTTTTTATTAATGTAGTTATCTAACCACACAACAAGGCATACCTCTTATTGTGAACCCAGCTTCAGGGTTGAATCCCATAGTGTTAGAGAAGTGCTTCCTTACAAAAAAACAAACCAAGCAACTCCTTACCATTAAGTACAAATGTACAGAGTTCATCTTATGTTGTAATTTCCCAATATAGCATTTTTGAGAAGTTTTAATTTCTGCAGATGAATTGTGCTATTACTAATAATTATTAGTTTTCTTTCTAACATTTTTTTTCTTTTTGATTGCAGTCTCCTAACAAACCTACAGTGCCTCAAGAGAAGATCAGGCCACTGACAAGCTTAGATCATCCTCAAAGTCCATTTTATGATCCAGAAGGAGGATCTATCAAGCTGGTAGCCAGAGTTGTCATTGAGAGAATTGCACGCAAGGTATAATATATATATATATAAAAATAAACATATCTAAAATTCTCAAGCAAGCGAAAAACTCCTCTTCATAAATCAAAAAAACAATCTTTCCTCTTCCCCCCAAATCTACCCACAACAAAGTTAATGGCAGAAAAGAACTAAAACTGTCTTATTATTTCTCCTACTTCTGGTAATTACTGCATCGGGAGATGCAGTAATTGGGGAATGTTTTAGGCATACACTGGGGACTTTTTTAAGTATACATAGGAATCAGAAGAGAAAAAAGTGCTGCAGATGAACAGTGCCTCACAGTATAGTGTTTTAGCCCCTCTCACTGCATACACATATGAGTTTCCTGTATCCAATCTCCACAATCGTTTCTTTGCAGGGGGAGCAATGCAATATCGTACCCGATAACATAGATGATATTGTGGCAGATCTAGCACCAGAGGAAAAAGAAGAAGGTACATTTTAAATTAGTTTGTGCTGTACTAATTTATTTTTTTTTTTTCCATTCTCCACTGTCATTTCTAGATAAAGTACAAAACTGACTGTGAAGCAAAAGCAAAAAGTGATTTAGGTCTTCATCTTTTCTGTATCTACTCTTAGCCTTCCCTTACACAGCAAAGAAATTGCATGCGTACGTGGAAGATGACAATAACAATAAAAAGCAGTAAGAGAAGCCTTTGGGGGGTTCAAATAATAATTTTTTTTAAAATGAAATTTGGCAATTAGTCATTTTTTTTCCTTTGGGTTAAAAACAGAGAAGATAGAGTGCAGGATGAAAGAATTTAACCTACTAGCATCTAAAGCAGTCACCAGCCAAGTAAAGAGAAGCAAATGGAGGACGATCTATTTTTAATGTTCACTGCCTTTTCTTACTTTTTAGATGATACCCCTGAGACATGTATATATTCCAACTGGTCCCCGTGGTCAGCCTGCAGCTCTTCCACCTGTGAAAAGGGCAAGAGGATGAGGCAGAGAATGCTTAAAGCTCAGCTGGACCTCAGTGTGCCCTGCCCAGATACCCAAGATTTTCAGCCATGTATGGGTCCAGGCTGCAGTGATGAAGGTAATCAAGAGGAAAGAGTGGAGCAGAAAAACACCTTGTAGTGTTTATTTTTCCTTTAAAGTTCTTAAAGCTGTTGGTTGCTGTGTGATTTGGGTTACAGAGGCAATAATTGTTGAAGAACACAAATTGAAACTCTCTCTAGTCAGTTCTGCAGTTCATTTGGGTTGGTGCATGCAGAATATAAAGGAAAGGAGTAAAGTAAGCAATAGTGGAGAGGAGAGAATGTGAGAGGCAGCATAAAGTAATACTGCACACAAATAGGCAGTTACAGACTTATCAGCAGTTCTGTTGGTATTAGCAATTGAAATGGTTCTCTGTATTTTAGATGGTTCCACTTGCATGATGTCTGACTGGATTACATGGTCCCCCTGTAGTGTTTCCTGTGGAATGGGAACGCGCTCTAGAGAGAGATATGTAAAACAATTCCCTGAAGATGGCTCTATGTGCAAAGTGCCTACTGAAGAGACCGAAAAATGTATTGTAAATGAGGAATGTTGTAAGTATTTTATTTAGCTTTGTAAAATCCAGCCTATAGTAGAAGCACTGCCCAAACCATTTTTTTATATGAGCTCTACTAGCAAACCATTTTCTTTCTCCATTTTGAATAGCCCCGAGCAGCTGCCTCGTCACGGAATGGGGAGAGTGGGATGAATGCAGTGCCAGCTGTGGCACAGGGATGAAGAGAAGGCACAGAATGATCAAGATGACTCCTGCTGATGGATCTATGTGCAAGGCCGAAACCACAGAGGCTGAGAAATGCATGATGCCAGAATGCCGTAAGTGTCCATGAGTTTCTCTCCTCTGCTACAAAGAGGGGCATCATTTCACATTGCTCCACCACACACACAAAGAATACAGCTACACCAGAAGCAACGCTGCTTTTTCTTCTTAGGATTAGATCCCTTAGGGAATGTGCATTAAATACCACGTTCACCATCAAGAGTATCCATAAAAAATATTCAGCAGTATCCTATTACTATAATACCCACACAGTGATGTGTATATTAGCAAGCCATACCTAAGCAACTCTAATTTATGGAATATGAGGTATATTACATTATCAGGCTACAATCAAATAGTGCCCTCTCCTTTCAGCTCATGAACAGTTCAGAAATTGAGGTGCTCCTTTTGTGCAGTCAGCCCATCTCACCCTTACTGTGACTTAAAATTGTTTTTAATTTCTTAAGAAATGTTAAGGTTTTCATCAAAAGCTGAAAGAATTAAATTTAAAAAGATTTTTGGTAGATAAAATGTGGAAGTATCACATTTGACCTATTTGAAGTATATTAATTTGACCTGCAGTTCTGTCCACTGCAACAATCCAGGTTTTTTCACAGGAGTTCTGATTGAAGCATACTTTCTTAAACTATTTATTCCCCTGAAGCACTGGTACTCTGCAGATATGAATAAGATTTAGAAAAAGATAGCAAAGAAAAGGTATTAAAACCAAGCAAACCTTTCAATTTAATATATTGTTTTCTGAGCTTCAGCAATCTTGTTCAGCTTGTGATTCATTTTGTCCAAAGTGACAACAAAGTATAATTGGTTGATGACAGATAAAACATTTTCCACTTGTACTATTTTCAATGCGTATACCTTTGTAAGTTATATATAACAATAATTCATTACTTTTTTATTTTCTTATTAGATACCATCCCCTGTCTACTCTCTCCTTGGTCTGAATGGAGTGACTGCAGCGTAACCTGTGGGAAGGGCATGCGAACCCGGCAAAGGATGCTGAAATCTGCTGCTGAGCTTGGGGACTGCAACGAGGAGCTGGAACAAGCAGAAAAATGCATGCTGCCTGAGTGCCGTAAGTGTGGGGAGCCCCCTGGAAAGAGGAGGCCAATTATGTGTGTCACAGTCCATGGGTCAAAACTCTGACACCAGTTTTTAGCATCACTTCTTTTTAGCATCACTTTAGCTGCACAACAACCCCCTGCAGCGCTACAGGCTGGGGGAAGTGTGGCTGGAGCTGCCTGGAGGAAAGAGACCTGGGGGTTCTAGTTGACAAACGGCTGAATATGAGCCAACAGTGTGCCCAGGGGGGCAAGAAAGCCAATGGCATTCTGGCTTGTATTAGAAATAGTGTGACCAGCAGAAGTAGGGAGGTGATTGTGCCCCTGTACTCAGCACTGGTGAGGCCACACCTCGAGTGTTGTGTCCAGTTCTGGGCACCTCAATACAAGAGAGATATCGAGGTGCTGGAGCGAGTGCAGAGGAGGGCAATGAAACTAGTGAGGGGGCTGGAAAACAAATCGTATGAGGAGCAGCTGAGGGAGTTGGGGCTGTTTAGTATGAGGAAGAGGAGGCTGAGGGGAGACCTCATCACTCTCTACAACTACTTGAAAGGACACTGTAGAGAGAGGTTGGTGCTGGTCTCTTCTCACAGGTAATTAACAATAGAACGAGAGGGAACGGCTTCAAGCTCCAACAGGGTAGGTTTAGATTGAACATTAGGAAGGAATTTTTCACAGAAAGAGTGGTCGGGCATTGGAACAGGCTGCCCAGGGAGGGGGTTGAGTCACCATCCCTGGCTGTGTTTAAGGGACATTTAGATGCGGTACTGAGGGATATGGTGTAGGGGAAGACTTTGTAGAGTAGGGTAGATGGTTGGACTCCATGATCCCAAGGGTCTCTTCCAACCTCAATGATTCTATGATTCTATGAAAAGTATTATCAACTGTGGAATTTTATTGTATTTTATTTTATTTTATTTTATTTTATTTTATTATGCAGTTTCAGCCATTGAGAGCTGGAATATGACCATGTCTTAATTTCAGCTTGCCTTCCTTAACCCTACGCCGATGACCAATATTGCTTTGGGTATAGAGTTTCTGCATATTTAACGCACTACAACTTTGGGCAACAGCTTGTGCCCTTCCCAATAGTAAATAAGTCAGAATTACAAACCCTGGTTTTGACTCAAATGCAGAATGTGTGCTAGGAAGGAAGGAATGGAGGATTAAAATCACCTGTGTGATTCTTTCAGCTCACAGAAAGAGGACAGAAGAGGCCCTCTCCATTTTTGATACATCCCTGAACTGTCTCGTAGCCGTTTTTACTGATCTATGTCTCTTTGCAATCTGGAATATCATATGAGCCAGTGGATGGTGCAGAGACAGCTGCATTGATTTTTTTACCTTACTCCACTAAAATCCCCCTCTTCTTGGGTGGTGCAAATTGCAGTCTTTTTGAAGCGTGATAGCCTGAGGCACTGCTGAATGAATAAGATATGATAGCTTTTAGTGTCCTGTTGCCAGCTGCTTTATGAGCCTTTATAACTAATTAAATTATTTTTCACAGAAAGTATTGGTTAAAAAGGCTTTTACACTGTATTTGCTAATTCAGCTTTTCTTAAATAATGTGAAATACATTTTGATTATTATTCACCGGGGCTATAATTTTTAAGTAGTGCTGAAAGATGGAAACTTTTAAGGAATAATGATATTACTGAATCTTGCTCATTGCGTAACACTACCAGTAAAGCAAGGCTTAGATCTCAGGGGTATCAGATTCTTTGTAAATATAACTCAATTTTTAACAGCTTTTCGTTATAAAACAGACATATGGGTGTACAGAATGGAAAACTGAAGAAGGCACAGAAGAATATTTATATGTTCTTTGTAATTTTAGTGATCTGCCAGCACCACTCTTGAAAAAGAAACTGAGGAAGGTGTCAAATAATAGTTCTGCTAGAAATGGACTCCAAAAATTTTGATGTGTAGCCTTACCAAATTTATGGAAAAGACTGAAGGCTTAAGTTGCATCCATGTATTTTGGATGTAAAAGCTCATTAGGCACATCTCTGTGTTTCTTATCGACTAGGTGTTTAAATCTCACAGCTTTCGTGTAATATTGCTTATTCTTTGCAGCCATTGACTGTGAACTAACAGAGTGGTCCCAGTGGTCCGAGTGCAATACTTCATGTGGAAAGGGCCATATGATCAGGACAAGAATGATTAAAATAGAACCACAGTTTGGAGGAACAGCATGCCCAGAAACTGTCCAACGTACAAAATGTCGAGTAAGGAAGTGCCTGAGAGGCCCAGGTATGGAAAAGAGGCGCTGGAAAGAGGCCCGGGAGAAAAGGAGAAGTGAACAAGCAAAAAAAAATATAGATAGTGAGCAATATCCAGGTGAGTGTGAAACCGTTATTTAGTACACTCATGTATAGTTGTCTTTTCTGCATGACAGGACCTTGTGAGCAGCTCCAATTCATGCTGCAAGAATTATTTTCAGCATTGCAGTCTAGGTGAAGTTTTAGCAATGAAATAAAGCATAGCCACTTTTGGTGTTTGCCTGTCATCAAAAATGAGTGACTTAAGTTTAGGGCACAATGGAGAAAGGCTTATATCTGTCCATATCCTGTCACCGAAAATATTTTAGCTTCTTCGCTACAAAGGGTGAATGTGAAAAAAAATTAGGTTTTAGACCTGGCAAAGGACTGATTGCAATTTCTGCAGACCTGGGTGATAATCTTTGCATCCAGTTACCTTTGAACTTTGAAAGTATTTGTTCCTGGAAACAATGCTGAATTTCAAAACTTAATTAATTTCCACCTCAATAATCTGATTCAGACTCAGACTGCTCTGAGAGATCTGCTCGGACTGCATTTCAGTAAGGGACAGTATTATCAAGCACTGATGCCTCAAATAAATAAAACATTATATCTTGTGGTATAGTTTACATTATCTGGATAGGAATTACAGCTAAGTTGTGGTTCATGCTTGTCTGACATTTAAAAGTTTCTTAATTTTATCTGTTTTATAATGTAGACAGTAAATTTCTTTTTTAATACATTTTTTCAGTGTTTGACAAATGCACCTTAATTATATTTAACTGGGGTTTTCTAACTCCTACTGTAATAAACTAGGCAATATAATGTCTTAGATTCAAATGATGTAAGTGTGCACACATGCATAGTGGTATGCATATTGAGACATGTAAGTTAGACTGAAATAGTAAAAACTTAAATCAAATTACTTATTTTTGCAGTTTGTAGACTGAAACCATGGACTGCTTGGACAGAATGTTCTACACTTTGTGGAGGTGGAATTCAGGAACGCTACATGATGGTAAAGAAGAGGTCCAAAAGCACTCAGTTTACTAGTTGCAGAGACAAAAAGGAGTTAAGAGCATGTAATGTTCATCCTTGTTAATGCAAGGCTTCAAAGTGATGCACTCTGAGCTAAATGGAAAGTCAACCTTGGTTTGGTTTTTAAAACAAAAAAAAAAATATAAAGTGTATAATAGTTTTCATTTTTGCAGTGTGATTTGCTTTTTAGTCTTGCTGGTGCAAGAAATATATTTTATAAATATTTCCTCACAGATGTATGCTGAGAGTAAATCTTTGGTACTCCAGCCAGCCCTTAATGCATAAAAATAGTAAGTCATTACGAGTCATTTAACTAAAATACAGACATATCTGTGGACATGGAATAGCCATATAGAAATACTACTTGTAAAGACATGGGATGCATGCATATTAGCATAACTAAGTTAAAGTGACATGTTTCATATGTGGGGGGATTTCTCTCTCGATTTGATTTTGAAAATCCAAAGCAGTGCCTACAAGATTACACAACTATGCCAAGGAGTAATTTCAGTAATGCTGGTTCAATAATATTAAAGGTGCATGTTTATCTTTTTACACTACTGGGTTAAGCTGATAGTTATACTAATTATCCTATATACTTTTCCTCACATAGATAGATGGTCCATACAACATGGTCTTTGTTTCTTTAAAACTTAAAAAATTAAGTAATTTGTGTCGCTCAACAGTGATGTCTACCCACTACATGGTCAGTCAAAACAGCACACAAAGAAAACACATGAATGTCACAATATATTTGGATGCCAAATTCTCACATTCAGTCTATCCACGGCCTCTCAAAATGGATACTAAGACCAAACACAGAGGTTCACAACGGCTGTGTCACAGAAAGACTTCCACATAAGTGACACTAAAAAATTAGATTCAGGTTTGTGAGGATGTTAATTACAGGTGAAGAGAGAAAGAGGTTTGTAATATAACAAACACGGTAGAGAAAAGGTGAGCCAGGTTCTCATGCAGCCCTTATAACAAAGGGAAGGGGGCCTCTGAAATAAAACAATGACAGCCTCTTAAAATACTAATTATAGATTGACAAAATATATTTTTACAGCAGTGTAGTTTCTGTTTGCGTTTTTTTTTTTTTTTTTACCCAGAGTATAGGAGGATCTAAAAGTTACTAAATTTGTGAGAGTTACTCATTTGTAGATATACGAGCCAGGATAAATGTCCTGGCCACCTGAGCAATCAACAAACTGCCAGAGATTAGGAAATAGCTCCTCACCATGCTAATTGCTGTTGCCATTTTGCACCATCTCCTGCAGAGTTTAGCACTCAACCCTCCATGTAACCAGGTGTAGGACCAGTGAGACCTTGGGCTTCACTTGCTATTGGAATATAACACCGTTCTGTAAGTGTAACAATTTAACATTAAAGATGAGAGATGAAGGCGATGGTTTATCTTTTGAGCCAGGAAAGGCAGTATACACCTATGTCTCTACATAAGTAATAACAATGCACTGAAAATAAAGACTGTTGATGATAACTCTTAAAACAAGCTTGAGAGAAATGAATGGAGAGAAATTTATTTTCTAGTCTCTTTAAACCAGCCTTAAGTAATTCACTCACTTCCTTAACACTTGGTCAACAATCCTGAGAACCTGACACCCAGGTTTTAAGTGTTCACATGTGATGTGAACCACAACCCACGGAGGCTGTTGGACATCCCCACCAGGAATCCTTTCATTACCTCCCTGTACCTGGACGGGCTGGTTGCATTACACTGTAGGGCTTCTCATCACCATTTCTCCACTGCAAACTGCAAGGGCTGCTCAGGACTTCCACAGCTGTCACATCCCACCCCCTCCTTAAGGTATTTGGCAGCTTTTATAATACCTGGGATGAGGGGAGAGCCAGGGAAGTAATGGAACCATCTGCAGTGTTAAGCCTCTCCTGCCACTGCTAAATGAAGCGGGTACAAGCCCATAGTGAACCAAACCAGGAGAAAAACGGAATCCAACAAGGTTTAATGCTACAACCAAACATTTTACATTTTGCACAGCTTGGCTTATTTAATAATATTAATTCAGATAGTTTGCATCCTTGTGCCTGTTGAAAAATTCTGCAGCTTATGTCTCTATAGCACTGCCATTACAGTGTAGCAGCAAGACTGTCCCTAAGTAATGTATTCATGACCTTACCTTGCACGTTATCCTTTTATGACCAAAAAAACACAGAACAACCCAACAAAAAACAGTGCAATGATACGGATACTGGAGGAATGACCAGCTGAGCATATTTCAGGTGAAGAAACAGATGGTTGCAGAGAAAGGGTGCAGAGATTAATGCCAGGCACTCAGCCTGGGCAGAGCTACAAATGCAATCAAGACCCACACACTACCTACTCTTGTGAGCCACACTTGCTAAGCCTGATGTCCCAGCTGAGGCTAATAATTCAAAAAGTTCACTTTGACTATGAAATGTGTGACTGAGTGGCTTTGGTAGGCTTTGAGAGCGTGGGACAGGGTGCAGAAGAAGAAGGTTTCTCTTGAATGGAAAAAAAAATGCTATGCGTTTATGGACTATATTTTATCTCATCAACCTTTACCACTTCTTTAGGCTAATCTTGCAAAACCATGCCTGTGTCTGCAAATAATCAATTAAAACCAATGTTAAGTTATTTTCATATTTGTTCTAGTTCATCAAGCTGTTTCGTCTTCTGATTACTCCCTTTGCCAAAGGTTACATAGTCTAAATAAGCCTTTAGGTATGTAGGAAATACACAGCATCTTTCTGAATGTGCCCACAAAATTGTCCATTAAAACAATCTGGCATTCCTTTCACTGTGGTTCTTACTAATTTGATTATCCATATCCTTTTTATTTCTCTTAGGAGGCTGTTCAGTGTGATTTCCAGTCATTTCTCTTAGGCTCATTAAAGTTATGAATGTTGGAAATATTTTTTCCCCCACCTTGTTAATACATTAAATGAAAACATAGATTGCACTGGGTCAGAAACGTGTGATCATTCCTTCTTAGGTTCAGCTTTTCACACTGTTTTCTGTTGAAACATTTTACAAGTCACTTGTCTGTCTTCTAACTTGATACAAAAGAAATATTTATGCTTGTTACATTTTGTAAAAAAAAAAACCACAAACAAAAACAAATGAAGAAAAAATAAGGTTGATTTTCTATTCAGAAAAAAAAAGCTCTGATATACAATATGTAGAAGTATTGCATTGTTACTGTAAAGTTTCTAGTAGTGTAATAGCCACTGATTATCAGTCAATAAAAATGAGAACTGTTATCTCTCTTATCTCCTGGATAATACTGCTGAACTGAAAGCACAGATGTCACTCCAGTTTTGTAGACCTCAACTATCAGATTTTAGCATTGTGTGTCTGGGGTTTTTTTCTAACATACAAACTGTAGAATCTTTACACATAATATAAAAGAAAACTTAGGGGGCTTAACAAATGTACAGTAGGACTCTGTGTGTGCAGCATACAATTTAAACAAAGTCTAGGTTGATTGCATTTTTAGGTTTCCTTCATTGTTTTTGTTTGCTGTGGAATTATGAAAAAGCTACCATGAATATTTCTTACCAAAGTCTTGTGTAGATGTTTTGTAGCTGTCTGGCTAACACATTATGATGATTATTATTATTATTATTTTGGAATAAAGACATCTTTACTATGAAATTAGTACTTGTATGAGATTCTATTAAACTAAGATAATTACGTACAACAAAAAATCCACATACTTATCAATATAAGGAGTCAAGTCACCCCCTTGTTTACATTTTACTCCTGTTCAAGCTAATGGGATATCTGGAGTGAGCTGGATCTTACTAGAAGCAGTCATTCCTCCCACTTGGAAATTATTTGCATTAAGGTTTTTGTCAGTTTGTTAGTCTTTAGAAATCACAGAGTTACTTAGGGTTGTTACTCAAATTACCCTCTATTACTCTCCTGCTGGTTTTGTTGCTGCTGTTGTTTTTGAATAAAAGAGAAACTATGTAAAAGAACACATTTTAAAGCCATGTGATACAAAGAGGGAAAAACTATTAAAAATAAGCTTTCAAAATCTCTGTGATTTTGTGAAACTTTCAACAGATATTTTATACTGCTAGAAGAGTATTTAGGTACACACATGTGTGAGTACATCACCGGTAATTACACAGAAAATTACAGCATTTAGGGGAGCCACTCAGCAAAGCTTGACTTTTTGTACCCACTTTTAGAAGTGCAAGGGTAGATTAACTCACCTTTCTGTAATCCCTGCTTTACTTTGTGGCCAAATAGTGGTGTTTCAGCAAAAAAGTGCTAATCCTTTTGCTTTCAAGTAAGCCCAAGAGCACCAAGCCTGCCCAGCTTGAGCAGAGTAGTCACTGCAATGCCAGTACCAGCGGTCTGCTGGGCACCTTCACACCAACGGACACAGACAGGCCTTTCTGAAGAACTATTTTCAGTATCTGAGTGAACTCCACTGACAGTGAGAAGCTATGCTAATTTATGGATCAATTTAATGTTCTGGCATAGTGAATGGTGAGATATCTGAAACAGCAATCGTGACCTTATGGCCCATAAAGCTGTATCAGAACAGCTTTGCCTTGGAAAGCCTCACAGAGCACATAAGTCAGCACAGCGAACATATGGCTGCTTTAAATGCTGACCATCTAAGTACTGCTTGAGACCTACTTGACAGAACGCCTGCCCTACCTTTTGGATGCTCTTCTTCACATGGCCAACACACCTAAACCAGAACCAGCGTGGCAGAAAGGTGACGGGTAAAGCAGGTCCTCAGCCATGGTATGCAAATCAATTAACTCTCCTTCTACAGCTGCCAATCTCAGAGCCACAGATTTCTGGGGTGGGGAAAAAAACAAGCAAATGCCTGAAATTATTCACAGCTCAGCTAAAATCTGAAGCCTGTCACTGCAGACTATGTGACAATTACAATTTCCATTTCTGATATATATAAATATATTCTGATAAATGCCAGAACATATTGTCGCTTGGCTGTGCTCTTAACTACAAAGCAAACTACAGTGTGTGTACAAATATACATACGGTAGCCAGTGCATACATACACAATTTTTTCATGTTTTTTTTTCTACTTGGTAAGCAGCATACTAACTAACTACTAAGGGGGGGAAAAAGACTTTACC